AGTGAGGGTGCAGCAGAGGGCCTCCCCCACCAACCCTAGTTGGGGGGGCTTTGTGGGGCCTTGTGGTGGGTGATGGGGATGCTGAGCACCGGGCCAGGGTGGGTGCTGGTGCCGATGACGCCCCGTTGCAGGCGCTCTGTGGTCCCGGATGTGGCAGGCTGGCGGCGGGAGATGGCCAGGTCTCCCAGGCTGCTTGTGTAGCTCCGGCCGTTGCGGTTCTTGCAGTATCCACTTCGAGCGAGTTGACTTGAAGTCCTGTTTTGGGAGGAAACACCTTTTGGCTAGCTACGATGATGCCCTCAGTGCAGAGGGTCCAGGCACTGAGGAGGAATTTGGGGTGTCGCGCTCTGGGTCAAGGTTGGTGGAGGTTTATGGACCGACTTCTGCTCTGCTCCAGCCAGTGTTTTATCCCGGGGACAACAGGGAGGAACTAAGTCCTTTTGGGTAGGAGCCGTTCTCTAGACCTACGGACTAGGAGTTGACGGGGGGGAGGAATTTGTTGTGGGGTGTGTGTAATACGCAATTCGTAGGGTTGGTTGAGTCATTACAGGATTCGCTCTCCAGTCTAATTAAACATGAAGGTGTTTCCCAGCCTACTCACCGCGAAACTTTTCACCTACCTCCTGCGGCTGGAGGGAAGTCTGCAGGGATTGTGCTTGCTGTGGGGGCTGCAGGATGGCTGGGCCTGGGGTGCATGCCTGTGATACGCAGTTCGGTGCCTCCTGGGATGAGTGATTACTTCACAGACAAAAGCACTTATTATTAAGAGCGCAGCCGTTTGCTGTTCCTTATTGTCCGACGTTGTAGCTTCTGAGACGTGTTAGCTGTGATGGTGTGCCAGTAACCATCCTGGCATAGCCAGGAGAATTTTTTGACAAAAGCAGTTTGTTCTGGAGAATGCCGTTTTCTCGGAGCTAGACTGCCCGCGTTGAAGCGTGCGAGATGACTTCACGTTTCAGGGATTCTCAAATCCTGGAACTGGCTGAGCCTCCCCCATCTCAAGCAAACACCACGGTGAGCTGGCGATGGGCTGTCCCAGGGCAAGGATCCTCTGTCTGGAACTGTTTGGCGCTGTCAGGATGAAGACAATAGAAATGGAGGTATATAAGCCTGGGTTTATCTCATCTCAAATAAGTGCCCCGACCATTGTTCTGCCAAACGTGCTCTGAATTCCATTCCTATTGACCTATCATACCAAAGTGCTTTTTCAGTCTTACTTATTTTATTTTACTTTATACTTCTTCCACTGCAGAGCGGGGAAACTTTTGAAATCTTGAGGACTGAAAGGGATCTCTAGTGCAGTTGTTATAATGTGTGTTCTGACTGTGCTGGGCAGCTTTGTGGATGAAGACATCATGTTGTCCCCGTTTTCCTTTTTCCCTTTTGTTTATATCAAGAGTCCCTGGAGCAAAATGTTACCTGGGGAGGGTGTAGAGCCTGTCCTCTCTACAAAGTTTTACTATCTATTAAAAAAGATGTCTCTGTCATTCTTGAGTCTTAGCTTTCTCCCTCCACTGCTTGGGTATTTCTGTACTATACCTAAGAAAGATCCCAATTTCAACTGATATCTTTGATAGAGGACTGACAGTGTATTTCCACATTGATTCTGAGGCTGTGAATGCACAAGGAAAAGCTAGGAAGTTCATTTGAACCAAAGTCCTTTGTTGGTTTGATTCCTCTCGTGGTATTAAATCGTAAAGTCAGAACGTTTCTACTTGTTTGCCGCTTCTGCCTCTTGACGTCTGATTTCTCACGTTGACCTGTGTGTCCCACAGCAATTGAATTAATGCTGTCTGCTGTGTCTGAGCCAAGACTTTCTTCCCAGTTGTTTGGTGCAAGGTGCCTTCTCTAACTTACTTAGTATGCTCTGCTGAATGCTTGAGAGGTAATTTTTATTAGCTTAACTTTGGTGGCGTCTTTGAATGTTCACAGTTAGCCACCGTGAACGCAGGGCTGACGTAAAACGTGCTTTTCCTTGACCTTGCTCGCGAACGCTTTCTGCATGTGTTGATGAAGCTGTACCTCCAGTGAAATGTCTAGCTGTACAAGGAGCCTACAAAGTGAGTTGTCCGGCGGGGACAGCGCCTGAATACTCACCGCTCAAAACTGAGGAAGGGACAGTATCAAGAAGCGTTTGAAGTCAATACCTGAAAAAGAGTGTGGTGGATCCTGATGTGCGTTGCACCACTTACGCAAGTTTGTTGTCGTATTTTCCCACCGAGTATTTTCAGACTGTGTCCCGTGAAAAATAAAAACGGCCAAACACTGCCTTGGGCCAGAAATGTGGTTCCTTGCGATGTGACTCGTGTCCGGCCTCGCAGCCGAAACGAGAACAAACAACATCGTTGTAGCACCGTTCAGTTATTCAGTGGCCTCCTTACCGATA